GCAGTGAGACTGGTCATCTTGAAGGTTGGATGTGTTGGTGAGGCCACGGCGCGAGGTTTTTATGTCAGGACCAGAGCAGAGGCGCACCCAGCACCGCCCCTCAGGAAGGGCGGTGCCCAAGCGATAGGATAGGCCACACTAAGATTTTTTATTTTTTTGCATTTATACTGTTAGAATAATCAATAACAAATGAAAGCCCAATATATTGAATAAAGACTTTGATGACAAGAAAATGAACCATGTTACTCAGAGCAAAATTTTCAATCCAGACATAACAGAAATCATAGAGTTGATTTTAGTGTCTGACTGCAGCTACAGTTCAGATCAGGTGTGACAGACTGAAGCGTTTTTAGTTTTGGTTTTTCTTTTCACACATTTCAGACAGGCAGAGACCAGACAGGCCTCATGTGAACTCAGATTGAAAATCTTGGCTCTGAAAGTAATATTAATTGATTTGTTTATCAGTTGGAAATTCTCCAATGTTATGAGTGGAGACAGTTTTTTGACTTTCCTGCCAACACATGCTGCTTCAGAGGTTTATCATTGCTGGATGTGAGGGTGGACCCCTACAGAGGAAGACGGAGATAAGTGTTTTTGTAGGTGTAGTTCAGCTGATATCAAGTGTTCAGCTGCCGTTTTACATAACTGGGAGTACAAAGTGTATCTCATTCATAGGAAAATACTTTATTTTTCTCAGTTCAGCCTTAATTGAACCTATTCCACTCAAATGAGCCGCACAAGTAGAGCACTTACGTCTGGATGGAAAGGACAGAGCTAAGAGCCAAGTATCTGATATATGTTTGATTTTGATGCCATTTCGACAATTACAGTGCTCAGAATAATAATCATATGAATTCTCTTCATGATGTAGGGGCAGAGAATGTAGGAAAAAAATGAACTTCCAAAGACACAGTTAGAAAACAACAAGGTTGAATTGGTGGGTCAATAAGGGTTTGGTTTTTTTTTTCAGAGAAAGTGAGGGAATCTCTTAAGAGAATACAAACATGTGCATTTTTGATTGGCTGACATTGGTGGAAGGAAAATATTTACATCCTTTACTTAAGTAAAAGTACTATTACCACACTGTGAAAGAACTCTGTTACACATAAAAGTCTTACGTTGCAAATGACACCTCAGCAAAAGTGTGTATTATCACAAAAATATGCTCAATAAGGGAAAATGTCCTCAGTGACTTGTAACTATTGAGGTGGAGTTTATTTTATTGGTAACAATTATTTTTATTACAAATGAATGTGCCGATTATTTTCTGCATTCATTGATTCTTTTGTTTGCAAAAAATAGCTTTAAAAAAAAAACATAAGTGCTCTGAACAATTCTCAAAATGGTCACGACTTTTCTGTTGATTGACTCATTGATTAATCGACTGATTGTTTCAGCTGCACTTTTATGAACTCATGTTAAGTTGCTTAATTTATCACAAAGCATCTCATTTTAAAAGTTCTTTACATGTTTTGTGTGCAGAAAAGTAGCTGAAGCTGTCAAATGAATGAAGGGGAGGGAAAATACAATAAGTTTTTAAATTGGCATGAATAGACTTTAGAAAAGCATAAGGACCTCCAGTTTGTACTTGAGTACATGAATTAGTAACGTTGCACCTCTGTTAGCTGACATGCATCATCTATAATTATGTCACATTGTGGCCTACGTAGTTCATAACAGCACTGTTGTGATGCAGACTCATTGAACTTGCGTTATCTCACCGACTCCTCCCAAAGAAGTCGCAACAGTGTTTTTCTCAGAGATTGTGACCAGTGCAGCTTTGCTATAGATTATTGTACTGTTGCTCATAAAAATAGGTCAAATAAATGTGGAGTCCTTGCACTAGAAGGGAACTGGAGATAGAAAACCTGGTTGTTTTAGTTATTTGTTTTTCTCCTTTGGCATGAAATAGCTTTTCAGACACTTCCAGACCCACCGGAATAGGTTCCATGTAAAACGCTGCCCAATATGACAGCTCTGCTGCAAGCATTTACTGCTGCCAAGTTCATCAGCAGCTTGACATGTTTTGCTTTTCACCGTCTTGTCTCATTATCCTGAAGCTAAATCGTGCCTCTGAACCTTAAAGCAAGAACAATTGCCTGTTTTTAAAATGCTACTTGGGTAAAAGTTTGCAGTATAATCAGGAAAATGTACAAAGGTAACAGGAAAATGTCCCCTGAGAACTTCACTGTCATTTATTGTCATTTAATTGTTATTACTCATATACAAAGGCTCCACCTCAAACAACTCCATAAGTAAATGTTTGTTTATGTAGTTGGTTGAGGTGGAGCTAGTTTTTGCATAGAACTGCAACTAATGATCTTTTATATGTATGTCTGTAAGGCAGATACCTAGTTAAGGCAGTAGAAGGCGCTGTTGTA